CAGCCTTTTTATCATTCTTGACATGCTGTAAGCATATATGTCGTAAAGTGGGATTGCTTTGAAATGGTGAAAAGATTTTTGTTACAATTAGACGGTATATTAAATTGTTAGCGAATATAAATAGCACTACAGATATGGGAATAAAACCCATTTTATACACATAGGACCAGTCAATCAGGCCATTAGCCGACGAATGGAACGCTTTAGCAATCATGCTACTCCGCCGCAATTTGAACAAGTTGAACAATGTTTAATGTATATTCTCAATTGAAGTGTACATAAGCCTTAAAACGCCATTTGTTTGTAAAGTGTGCAGTCTACCAACAGTCTATAATTACTACGGACAGTCCTAACTCAGAATAAGGGAATGGAAAAAGTCCTAAAAAGTCCTATATTATTTACCTAAGCATGTTCTTTTCAACACTCGAGTTATACACTAATTTCTTTCAACTGATACGACTGCTGGTTTTCCTAATGAGGAACTCGTTGGTGGACGTGAGATAGGTCGTTGACTGATGACTTAGGTTTAGGTGGTGGCAAACAGATGACAGTTATTTGGGTGAATATGGGATTCGAAACCAGCGGTGTGTTCTGTTTGCACAATGTAGGGTCGCAAGTTCCATGTTATATGTAGATATAACACATGAACAGCGTTTCAAAATATTTATACAACCTTTACTCGGGTCTTAATTTTTATATGGCCATTTCCATGTTTACTCTCGTCGGCCGTTGATGTTCTAAATCGGTAACCAGTGAACTGCTGACAAAAATAAAGAACCCATTGATGTCATTTGAATGTGCTCGCATAAAATACAACACCTATTACCAAAACATCAGTCTTTTCGTGGTAATCTATTTCCGAAAGCCCCATGACGCACATAGAAGTTGATATTCAAGTATAAGACAAAATATTATGGATGTCAACGTCTTCTTTATTGTATAAACAACGTTCAAGGCTTTTCCTTGCCCCTTCGTCAGGTGAATAGTGCTGACACAAGAAACACACTGTTGGAAACACATAAAGAGCACATGGAAGTCAGAATGCTTTTTTTTTCAGTTCCGGATTTTCACTCACTGCAATACGAATCATTATATCACCTAACGATGGGGCAGGGAAAAGACCAGAAACGTTGTGTTTACAATAACGAAGAAGTTGACATCAATAATATTTTGTCTTTCCACTTTCAAATTTGGCTATGGCTTGGGTTTGGGTCCGGGTTAGAATATTGATCTTCAGTAACCCATGCTTGTCATAAGAGGCGACTAACGGGATCGGGTGGTCAGGCTCGCTGACTTTGTTGACACATGCCATCGGTTCCCAATTGCGCATATCGATGCTCATGCTGTTGATCACTGGATTGTCTGGTCCAGACTCGATTTTTTACAGACCGCCGCCATATAGCTGGAATATTGCTGAGTGCGGCGTAAAACTAAACTCACTCACTCACTCACATAAATCCAAATTGTGTGAATCAAAGCGACAAACCCTTTTCTTCAGCCATAAGAAATCATAAACAGAGTCAAGTGTGCGACTCCGACCAGTGGCACCCGTGGGGGAAACATCGGAAAAGGCTGTCAATTGTTCACCTGAAAAAAACGGGAACCTATGTTACAAGTCAAAATAGGGATGCCACTGTCACTGATGCGTCAATGTGCACAATTCCTCACATTAAACAATTCATGCACCACAAAACGTTTTGAAAGCTTTATTGAGGTCTTGAGTGATGTAGCCTTGATCGGACAACCACATAAAAGTCTTATGACGCCCTTTGATGTCATGGTTAAATGAGCATGCTCGTTTGAACCACAACAGTTGTATATGTCAAAACCAGACATTGCTTTCTCGTCCTCTGCTAATATGTGCAGCATCCTCATCACGCATTCACTCTCCTTTTTCTTAAAAAAAACCAAGTGTCACCATTTTCGCCCAATAAAAGTGAAATGTTTTATGTATCTGATTTGTCTTATTTGTCTTTTTTTTCACTCATTACTCACGTATTGATGTGAATATTAGCAGAACATAACTCAAGATTCATAGACAGGTGAACAGTTAGTATTTTGTCAAGTCACCATGGGCAGCAATGCAGGCTTCAATGCGGCGGGGCATACTACTGTTCTTTCATTTCACCAATATTTGTCAGATTTTTCTTATTGACACTTTCCTTCATAAGTCCCCAAACATTTTCTATTGGATTTAGGTCAGGGCTATAGCAAGGCCAATCTAATAATAAATTCTAAATATGTCCATAGAGCACGTGAGCAGATGGAAGTAAATGTCCCTCGAGAATATCTCGCTCACTGTTCATATTCCCTTCAAATACACAGAGGGGCGTTGCCCCTAACACAGATATGCCACCCCACACGTTAAATTTCGGACTGTACTTTGGGCGCTGATACAAAGGTTTTTTAGTTTGTTTGGTCCAGAATCTCAGTGTATTAGGAAACAGCCACACAGAACTTTCATCTGAGAAAATCACATTGTCCCAGTTAAAATTTCTATGCTGTAAGCACCAGTTCAACCTTCGCTCCTTTTGTTCAGGTCTCATGATCGGTGATGAAATTCCTCGACTTTTCTGCCAACCCATTGCATGCAGCTCAGTTCTAATTGTCTCCTTACAGACAGCCACAGTTCCTCTATCAATCATATCCAGCGTTAAGATTTCTAAACTCCTTCGTTTGTTTTTAGAAACAAGAATACCAAGCCGCCTCCCGTCACCGACAGTCAATTTTCTGGGCCTACCTGCGCCTCCCTGGTGCTCAATGCCATATCCGTTTGCAATATTTTTCAAAACACGATAAACAGTGGACAAAGGGATGGCTGTTCTACTTGAAATCACTTAGCTGATCTGATGTCCTTGTTATAATACTCTAAAATCAACTTCCTCTTCTCTAAATCATCCATACTGAGGATCACTGAAAATGTCGTCTGCTAGCAAGTAAACAAAGGAGGATAACTCTTCACAAACTAATGAAAAAGGATTCACGGAGTTGTCTCTCTTGAATGAAACCAAGCACTTTATAGCTGGTCAAGGCTGTTTATACTAGAAATCCAATTAAACATATTCCTAAAATTCTCAATAATTTCTGGTCACACTATATTTGTATAAGATACGATGTTTTATTACCCATATGGGAAGGAGGACACACTGGGTTGTATTTTTCTTGTAAGTCCCTAGGGAGTTTACACCTTTTGTGGAAGCTTATTGGCTGTTTCAGAAAATAAAACAGCTAATCAACGTGTAGGGATATCGCGGGTTTCCTTATTGACAATGAATTTTCATTGTAGCGTTAATCAGATCGAAAACTGACATGGGTAATAAATACAATAACCAACTCGCAAAAGTTCGAGAATTACGTAATCAATCAAAATGATAATCCCCGTCACTCGTTAGTTATTGTCTAAATCTGCAAAGGAAATACTTAAGATCTTTAACACTGATTAATTCATAGAAGATCTTTAACGTTATAGTACTGGTGTTAGCGAAGAAGCAATTTTGTCATGCAAATTTATATGATGCGTGTTCAAATGAATGAGAGTCAGGTGGTGGTCATTTAATATTAACGGCTAATAACAACACTACATACGTGCTAGTTGAAACAAAAATGTCATACACCTGCTCGGGTAATGAACTTACCAATATTCTTGAACAGTTCTATCTTTGACTGAATTTAGTCAGATGCACCTACTGGGTTGAACGTCCCAAACATGTGATGCAGTATGTACATATCTAAATGATATCATTGATGAAGATTCGTGTGTAATTGAAATAATCATACATGTTGAGAATATTTGATCTCTCTGATTTGGCATAACGGGTGCAAGTGAACAGTAAAATTGCAGAAAACCTTAATTAGCCCACAGCACTGCATGACTAAATGATAACTGAGAAACAAAAACAATGGAACATCTGTTGTGAAACAGTAATCTATGTTAGAGACGAATATTTAAATCACACGCGGTGCCGTGGGATACTGCCCACAATTTTAGCCGCTAGCTGGTCTCGTCCAGAGTAGAACACTGAGCCGTCGTCCTACTGTACAGTGATTAGCTTAACAACACATAGTTTACATGAATGCATGATGTTCATGATGAAGTAATAGTATATCCCTCAGTAAAATACACCCAACCCAATCCCCTTTTATTCAATTTGTAGCAATCGATAGATGAGAGTGAACTATAACACATTAGTTGTCATCGAGAAAACTAGCGACTGCTTCACAACGACATTCAGATTGTCTTCACTAGATAAAGATAAGATACATTTCAATAGTCCTGTTTTATAAATAATGAACACGCACACCAAACTAGCCGCCCAGCCAGCCAAACGTACTATCGTTATATATTTATATTCATTTTGTTGAGCATCTCATGACTGCAATGTTGATAACGTTTATAAGTAGAAGACACGAGCAATGTAAGTCTTGAATATGGAGTATGAATATTAAGATTTAGGAGTTACGTAGGAAATACGAATCAGTAAACGCTGTTGTACCATTAAACAGTCAAACACCATTGTGTCGACCTTTGATATGTCGAACACAAGGTTGTTTCGGAGGTAGAATCTGGATTCCTGGATTCCTTATGTAGACAATATTTTTCCAACCTCGGATAACTCGAAGTATTGACGTTGGTCATGTCAACTTCGACACAACCGTGTTTGATTGTATTTAAAACCAGGTGTAAATTGAATTGGGTCGACAGGTACTGTCTTACAACTTACTAAGGATAGGATATTTTGGATTGCATGTAGAGCGTTTTAGGACATAAAAAATGATATCTTCTTATAAAAGGATGTTAGAAAGAAAAAGATACTTTCGAAAGTTACATTTCAGTAAACACTTTATCACGTTCGGTATCTTGCCGCCATTTGAGAACTACTACTATATCCGTATCTGTAAACAATAACGATGTTGTACAATGTTTCTCCCATAAAATACCAATATGTTGCGTTCAATAAATAACATACAATTGTCGTTGAAATCGAGGATATTTGTCAAAGTGAATATGACATTGATATTGAAAGTCTGTGCTCTGTAATTCTTCTATGAAACCATTGTTCAAAGCAGTGGCATACTTCATATACCTCCATAGATTATATGAATACTGATGATATTATAATTAACCAATAAACCATGCCCTTACTTCGCGTGTCAGTGGGTGTTAGATCCTGAATATGCAAACTCGACAGCTTTTCATGAGCACATTAATTCAACGGAACGTCCTGTGAGACGACCAAGGGTATATAAAGCCTAATAATCTTGTCTTCAGCAGAATCGACCTCTTCACAACAACATCCACTCTCAATCATGAAGGTAAGTTTCATTCTAAAAGCTGTAGAAAATACACATTATATAATATTTTAATAATTTATTTTCGAATATTTTTACTGCATGCATGGTGGTTGATGGGTTAAGCGAAGATGCAATGGGCCTTTTGTTATGTAAGAACTAACAATGACACGTATAATCGTATGACAGGTGTACTTATGACCGCTTTGAATCGTTCTTGACAAATAGCACAGAATGCCAGCTTCATGTGAAAGAAAACTCCGAAATGAAGCAGGTATGAATTGACGAGCACGGGAATAGTGCTGACACAGGAAACATAATGTTGGAAGCACATAAGGAGCACATGAAAGTACACGTGTTCCTTTATTTATTTCCGGATTTTCACTCACAATGCAGCACAATACATGTGAGGAAACCTGAAAAGACGATAGAAACTCGTGCTCACTTATTTGTTTCCATCACTGTATAATCATGCGAATATACAATTCGAACCGACGGTGGTAGGTTTCTATCGCGACTTTACATACTTTGTATGTTGTACTTTGTGGTGATTTCGTTACATCTGAGGTGCTTTATATAACTCGGGATCAGTTTACCGACATTTGGAGTTGATAATACCGACAATTTGGTTACCTGGGTATCCTTGATTTAGCATCATAATCGTTCAAAAATTACTCCATACTAATAGAAATATAGTCTCAATCTATTTATGGTTGCCATTGTACTTTGTATAGGTGTAATTTAACGTACATCCTGTGTTTACATAAGTTTACTCTATATCAAACAGGATATATTAATGTCATTTCGTTACAAACATGTATTGTAAATTAGCACCTATTGTTTTCTCAGGTCATCGTCGTTGTATTGTCCGTGCTGGTGTGCTCCACCCTGGCTCAGGTGCCTCTCATCGGTGGAGGTCTTGGAAATGGTGCTTTCGGTTTCGGTTTCAACAACGGTGGAATTGCAGGAAAAGGCTACGGCTATAACAACTACGGATACGGTAAAGGCTCTGGCTCCTTCGGTGGCGTTGTTGGTGGTAACGGACTTGTTGGATTTGGCGGCATCGTTGGTGGACGTGGCATCAGTGGAGTGTTCGGTAATGGACTCGCTGGTCATGGAGGCATCGTTGGTGGACATGGTCTTGCTGGACATGGTGGCATCGTTGGTGGACGTGGCATCAGTGGAGTGTTCGGTAACGGTCTTGCTGGTCATGGAGGCATCGTCGGTGGACATGGTCTTGCTGGCCATGGTGGCATCGTCGGTGGACGTGGCATCAATGGAGTCTTTGGTAACGGTCTTGCTGGTCACGGTGGCATTGTTGGTGGACATGGCGTCAATGGACTCTTCGGTAACGGACTTGCTGGTCATGGAGGCATCGTTGGTGGACATGGTCTTGCTGGACATGGTGGCATCGTCGGTGGACGTGGCATCAATGGAGTCTTCGGTAACGGTCTTGCTGGTCACAGTGGCATTGTTGGTGGACATGGCGTCAATGGAGTCTTCGGTAACGGACTTGCTGGTCATGGAGGCATCGTTGGTGGACATGGTCTTGCTGGACATGGTGGCATCGTTGGTGGACGTGGCATCAATGGAGTCTTTGGTAACGGTATTGCTGGTCACGGTGGCATTCTTGGTGGACATGGCGTCAATGGAATCTTCGGTAACGGTCTTGCTGGTCACAGTGGCATTGTTGGTGGACGCGGCGTTAATGGGGTCCTCGGTAACGGACTTGCTGGTCACTTCAATGGCGGAATCGGAGTTTCTGGACCTTTCGTCGGAAAATTTTAAACAGCAAGCGGCCACTGCTACTAAGATGAGATGTACATTTCTCGAGGGATTAAGTTTTATACTGAATGTCATTTTGTAATTTTGGATGAATAAAAGCACATCTATACCTACCTACAGCCTTTTTATCATTCTTGACATGCTGTAAGCATATATGTCGTAAAGTGGGATGCTTTGAAATAGTGAAAACAGATTTTTCTCACAGTTAGACGGTATATTAAATTGTTAGCGAGTATAATTAGCACTACATAATATGGGAATAAAACCCATTTTATACACATAGGACCAGTCAATCAGGCCATTAGAGGACGAAGGGAACGCTTTAGCAATCATGCTATCCCTCCCCTACCCCCACCCCCACCCCAATATGAACAAGTTGAATAATTTTTAATTTTTGATTGATATTGAAGTGTACATAAGCCTTAAAAAGCTTTAAGTTTGCATTTGTTTGTAAAGTGTGGAAGGTGGGTGGGGCAGGATTCGCTCACCTTTTTTAGAACATGTAGTATCATGATGATGACTCACAGCACGTGGGTTAAAATTGTATAAGCAGAGATTTCTTATGGGTGTTATAAGGGTTTTCTTGCTTACAATTACTACCAATAGTCTTAACTCAGAATAAGGTCCTAAAAAGTGTTATATTATTTAACTAAGCATGTTTTTTTCAACACTCGAGTTTCGTTATACACTAATTCCTTTTAACTGACACGACAGCTGGTTTTCTTGATGAAAAACTCTCACAAAGTGAGATAGGTGGTTGACTGATGACATAGGTTTAGGCGGTGACAAACGGATGACAGTTATTTGGGCGAATATGGGATTCGAAACCAGCGGTTTGTTCTGTTTGCACCATGTAGGGTCGCAAGGAACGACATTGTATGCCCTAATAGCCATGTCATATGCACATATAACACATGTACAGTAGAACTAATATACAGTATAGATGCGTTTCAAAACACGTATACAACCTTTACTCGGGTCTTAAGTTTTATATGGACATTTTCATGTTGACTCTCGTCGGTCATTGATGTTCTAAAGCGGCAACCAGTGTACTACTGAAAGCAATGAAACTAATGAAGCAAACCATTGATGCCATTTGTATGTATTCGTATAAAATGCAATATTTGGTGCCAAAACATCAGTCTTTTCGTGGTAATCTATTTCCGAAAGCTCTATGACGCACACACACATGTGCATTTCCTTGCCCCTTCGTCAGGTGAATTCACCTGAATTAACCTGACGAAGGGGCAATGGAAAGCCCAGAAACATTGTGCATACAATAAAGAAGAAGTTGACATCCATAATATTCTGTTTTATACCCTTTATACTGATTCAAGCCTGTGCCCTGTACGCCCAATGTCCCCAAATCAAAAGTGTGTCAATGAAAGCAACAAACCCTTTTCTTCACCCATAAGAAACTTTAAACAGAGTCAGTGGTAAGATTCCGACAATGCCATGAGTATGTGTTTATGAATCACTATCAGTTGACGTTTTAATGATACCAGGCGTTCACGAAAATGTGAGCGTATCCTGTCCTACCAGTGGCACCCGCCCTTAACATAGGAAAAGGCTGGTCAATTGTTCACCTGAAAATATCGGGGACCTATGTTAAAAGTTCAAATTACGGATGCCACTGTTTCTGATGGGTCAAATTTTACAATTTCCTCACATGTGAAAAATGATGACAATTCTTATGGATATACAACTTCTTTTAGTCTGTGAAGGGCGGCGTTTGGACATAGATTCTAATGTCATTGTCAAGCAAGTGATTAGAATCTATGTCGAAACGTCGCCCTTCACAGAATAATAGACGGTGTATATACATAAAATTTGTCATCATTCTTCATCAACTTAACTTCTTAAATGCCCATCAAAGAAATTCCTCACATGTGCACCATAAAACCTTTCTTTACGCTTTACGCTGAAACCTTGATTTGACAGCTACTGACTAAAGTTGTATGAAGCCTCGGTAAAATGAACATTCTCGTTTGAATCACAACAATTTGTATTTCAAGCCAAAAGGCTCATTGCCTTCACCGCCTCCGCAGCATCCTCATCACGCATTCACTCCCCTTTTTCTTACAAAAACCCAGCAGGTGTCACCATTTTTGCCCAATAAAAGTTAAATGTTTTATGTATCTGATATTTGTATAAGATACGATATTTTATTACCCATATGGGAAGGAGGTCACAAGGTAGTATTTTTCCTGTAAGTCCCTAGGGAGGTTACACCTTTTGGTGAACGCTGATTCGCTGTTTCAGAAAATAAAACAACCAATCAACGCGTAGGGATATGGGGATTCCCCACATCGCGGGTTTCCTTAAAGGGAATGCTGTATTCATTTTAGCGATGTTTAGATCGAAAACTATATGGGTAATAAAAACAATAACCAACTCGCGAAGGCTCGAGAATTACGTAATTAATATAACTCGGGAAAGATAATCTGCCTATTTCCCGTCACTTGTTAGCTATTGTCTAAATCTGCAAGGAAATATTTAACATCTTAAGCGCTGTTCATAGAAGATCTTTAACGTTATAGTACTGGTGTTAGCGAAGAAACTAATTTGCCCTGAAAATTAAATGATGCGTATTCAAATGAATGAGACTCAGATGTTGGTTATTTAATAATATAGGCTTATAACAACACTACATACGTGATAGTTGAAACAAATATGTCCTAAAAAGGCTAAAACTTGATGTTTTAATGAATGATTTGTTAATACATCAAAATATATACGTTTGTCCTTAGCCATAATCACATAAATAGTGAGAATGTTTCTCAAACATCTGCTCGGGAAATGAACTTAGTAATACTCTTGAACAGTTCTACCTTTGAATGATTTAGTCAGATGCACCTATTGGGTTGAACGTCCCAAAAATGTGATGCAGTATTTACATATCTTATCATTGATGAAGATTCATGTGTAATTGAAATAATCATACACCACCCTTCAGAATATTTGATCTGTCTGATCTGTCTGATATGGTATAACGGGTGCAAGTGAACAGTGCAATTGCAGAAACCCGTCTTCTGAATAAACCTACAGCACTGCAAGAATGGATAATAACTGAGAAAAAAACAACAACGGAACATCTGCTGTGTAACAGTAACCTATGTTAGAGACGAATATTTAGATCACACACGGTGTCGTAGGATGTTGCCCACAAAATCAGTCGCTAGTTGGTCTTATCCAGAGTCGAACCTGGAGCCGTCGTCCTACTGTAGAATGATTAGCTTAACAGCACATACATTACGTGAATGCATGATGTTTATGATGAAGTAATAGTATATCCCTCAGTAAAATACACCCCAACCCATTCCCCTTTAATCACTTTGTAGCATTCGATAGTCCTCACACAAAATGAGAGTGAACTTTGACACATTAGTTGTCATCGAGAAATCTAGCGACTGCTTCACAACGAAATTCAGATTGTCTTCACAAGATAAAGATGTTTTTATAATAATGAAAACGCACACCAAACTAGCCGCCCAGCCAGCCAAACATAATATGTATATATTCATTTTGTTGAGCATCTCATGACTGCAATGTTGATAACGTTTATAAGTAGACGGACGAGCAATGTAAGTCTTGAATATGGAGTATGAATACTAAGATTTAGGAGTTACGTAGGAAATACGTATCAGTAAACGCTGTTTTACCATTAAACAGTCAAACACCATGGTGTCGACCTTTGATATGTCGAACACCAGGTTGTTTCGAAGTAGAATCTGGATTCCTGGATGTAGAGCGTTCTAGGACTTTCTACATAAAAGATCACATGTTCTTATAAAAGGATGTTAGAAAGAAAAAGATACTTTCGAAATTTACATTTCAGTAAACACTTTATCACGTTCGGTATCTTGCCGCCATTTGAGAACTACTACTTTATCCGTATCTGTAAACAATAACGATGTTGTACACACAATGTTTCTCCCATAAAATACCAATATGTTGCGTTCAATAAAGAACATACAATTGTCGTTGAAATCGAGGATATTTGTCAAAGTGAGTATGACATTGATATTGAAAGTCTGTGCTCTGTATTTTTTTATGAAACCATTCTTCAAAGAAGTGGCATACTTCATATATCTCCATAGATTATATGAATACTGATGGTATTATAATTAACCAATAAACCATGCCCTTACTTCGCGTGTCAGTGGGTGTTAGATCCTGAATATGCAAACTCAGCAGTTTTCATCAGCACATTAATTTAATAGAACGTCCTGTGGAGACGACCAAGGGTATATAAAGCCTAATAATTTTGTCTTCGTCATTGGAATCGTCCTCTTCCCAACAACATCAACTCTCCATCATGAAGGTAGGTTTCATTCTAAAAGCTGTACAATATTTTAATAATATATTTTCGAATAATTTTACTGCATGCATGAGGGTTGATGGGTTAAACGAAGATGCAATGGGCCTTTTGTTATGTAAGAACTAACAATGACACGTATAATCGTATGACAGGTGTACTTATGACCGCTTTGAATCGTTCTTGACAAATAGCACAGAATGCCAGCTTCATGTGAAAGAAAACTCCGAAATGAAGAAGGTATGAATTGACGAGCACGGGAATAGTGCTGACACGGGAAACATGCAGGAAACATAATGTTGGAAGCACGAAAGGAGCACATAAAAGTACACGTGTTCCTTTATTTATTTCCGGATTTTCACTCACAATGCAGCACAATACATGTGAAGAAACCTGAAAAGAGGATAGAAACTCGTGCTCACTTATTTCTTTCCATCAGTATATAATCATACGAATCTACAATTCTAACCGACGGTCGTAGGTTTCTATCGCGACTTTACATATTTTGTATGTTGTACTTTGTGGTGAATTCGTTACGTCTGAGGTGCTTTAAATAACTCGGGATCAGTTTACCAACATTTGGAGTTGATAATACCGACAAATTGGTTACCTGGGTATCCTTGATTTAACATCATAATCGTTCAAAAACTACTCCATACTAATTGAAATATAGTCTCAATCTATTTATGGTTGCCATTGTACTTTGTATAGGTGTAATCTGACGTACATCCTGTGTTTACATAAGTGTACTTTATATCAAGCAGGATATATTAATGTCATTTCGTTACAAACATGTATTGTAAATAAGCACCTATTGTTTTCTCAGGTCATCGTCGTTGTATTATCCGTGCTGGTGTGCTCCACCCTGGCTCAGGTGCCTCTCATCGGTGGAGGTCTTGGAAATGGTGCTTTCGGTTTCGGTTTCAACAACGGTGGTATTGCAGGAAAAGGCTACGGCTATAACAACTACGGATACGGTAAAGGCTCTGGTTCCTTCGGTGGCATTGTTGGTGGTAACGGACTTGTTGGACATGGCGGCATCGTTGGTGGACGTGGTCTTGCTGGTCATGGTGGCATCGTTGGTGGACGTGGCATCAGTGGAGTGTTCGGTAACGGTCTTGCTGGTCACGGTGGAATTATTGGTGGACATGGCGTCAATGGAGTCTTCGGTAACGGACTTGCTGGTCATGGAGGCATCGTTGGTGGACATGGTCTTGCTGGACATGGTGGCATCGTCGGTGGACGTGGCATCAATGGAGTCTTTGGTAACGGTCTTGCTGGTCACGGTGGCATTGTTGGTGGACATGGTGTCAATGGACTCTTCGGTAATGGACTTGCTGGTCATGGAGGCATCGTTGGTGGACATGGTCTTGCTGGACATGGTGGCATCGTTGGTGGACGTGGCATCAGTGGAGTGTTCGGTAATGGACTTGCTGGTCACGGTGGCATTGTTGGTGGACATGGCGTCAATGGACTCTTCGGCAACGGACTTGCTGGTCATGGAGGCATCGTTGGTGGACATGGTCTTGCTGGACATGGTGGCATCGTTGGTGGACGTGGCATCAGTGGAGTGTTCGGTAACGGACTTGCTGGTCACGGTGGAATTATTGGTGGACATGGCGTCAATGGAGTCTTCGGTAACGGACTTGCTGGTCATGGAGGCATCGTTGGTGGACATGGTCTTGCTGGACATGGTGGCATCGTCGGTGGACGTGGCATCAATGGAGTCTTTGGTAACGGTCTTGCTGGTCACAGTGGCATCGTTGGGGGGCACGGTGTTGCTGGACACGGCGGCATTGTTGGTGGACGCGGCGTTAATGGGGTCCTCGGTAACGGACTTGCTGGTCCCTTCAATGGCGGAATCGGAGTTTCAGGACCTTTCGTCGGAAGATTTTAAGCAGAAGCGGCCATTGCTACTAAGATGAGATGTACATTTCTCGAGGGATTAAGTTTTATACTGAATATCTTTTTGTAATTTTGGATGAATAAAAACACATCTATACCTACCTACAGCCTTTTTATCATTCTTGACATACTGTAAGCACATGTGTCGTAGAGTGGGTTTGCTTTGAAATGGTGAAGACACATTTTTTTTACAATAACACAGTATATGACATTGTTAGCGAGTATAATTAGCACTACAGAATATGGGAATAAAACCCATTTTATACACATAGGACCAGTCAATCAGGCCATTAGAGGACGAAGGGAACGGTTTAGCAATCATGCTATCCCCCCTCCCCCTCCCCAATTTGAACAAGTTGAACAAATTTTTAATCTATGATCGATATTGAAGTGTACATAAGCCTTAAAAATGCCTTAAGTTTGCATTTGTTTGTAAAGTGTGGAAGGTAGGTGGGGCAGGATTCGCTCACCTTTTCTAGAACATGTAGTATCATGATGATGACTCACAGCACGTCCTCTTGATAAGGGTTAAAATTGTATGAGCAGAGATTTCTTATGGGTATTATAAGGGTTTTCTTGCTTATAATTACTACCAATAGTCTTAACTCAGAATAAGGTCCTAAAAAGTGTTATATTATTTAACTAAGCATGTTTTTTCAACACTCGAGTTTCGTTATACACTAATTCCTTTTTACTGACACGACAGCTGGTTTTCTTGATGAAGAATTCTCACAAAGTGAGATAGGTGGTTGACTGATGACATAGGTTTAGGTGGTGACAAACGGATGACAGTTATTTGGGCGAATATGGGATTCGAAACCAGCGGTTTGTTCTGTTTGCACCATGTAGGGTCGCAAGGAACGACATTGTATGCCCGAATACCCATGTTATATGCACATATAACACATGTACAGTAGAACTAATATACATTATAGATGCGTTTCAAAACACGTATACAACCTTAACTCGGGTCTTAAGTTTTATATTGCCATTTTCATGTTGACTCTCGTCGGCCATTGATGTTCTAAAGCGGCAACCAGTGTACTACTGAAAGCAATGAAACTAATGAAGCAAACCATTGATGCCATTTGTATGTATTCGTATAAAATGCAATATTTGGTGCCAAAACATCAGTCTTTTCGTGGTAATCTATTTCCGAAAGCTCTATGACGCACACACACATGTGCATTTCCTTGCCCCTTCGTCAGGTGAATTCACCTGAATTAACCTGACGAAGGGGCAATGGAAAGCCCAGAAACATTGTGCATACAATAAAGAAGAAGTTGACATCCATAATATTCTGTTTTATACCCTTTATACTGATTCAAGCCTGTGCCCTGTACGCCCAATGTCCCCAAATCAAAAGTGTGTCAATGAAAGCAACAAACCCTTTTCTTCACCCATAAGAAACTTTAAACAGAGTCAGTGGTAAGATTCCGACAATGTCATGAGTATGTGTTTATGAATCACTATCAGTTGACGTTTTAATGATACCAGGCGTTCACGAAAATGTGAGCGTATCCTGTCCTACCAGTGGCACCCGCCCTTAACATAGGAAAAGGCTGGTCAATTGTTCACCTGAAAATATCGGGGACCTATGTTAAAAGTTCAAATTACGGATGCCACTGTTTCTGATGGGTCAAATTTTACAATTTCCTCACATGTGAAAAATGATGACAATTCTTATGGATATACAACTTCTTTTAGTCTGTGAAGGGCGGCGTTTGGACATAGATTCTAATGTCATTGTCAAGCAAGTGATTAGAATCTATGTCGAAACGTCGCCCTTCACAGAATAATAGACGGTGTATATACATAAAATTTGTCATCATTCTTCATCAACTTAATTTCTTAAATGCCCATCAAAGAAATTCCTCACATGTGCACCATATAACCTTTCTTTACGCTGGACTCAGGCCTTGGGCGATGAAACCTTGATTTGACAACTACTGAGTAAAAGTTGTATGAAGTCTTGGTAAAATGAACATTCTCGTTTGAACCACAACCGTTTGTATTTCAAGCCAAAAGGCTCATTGCCTTCACCACCTCCGCAGCATCCTCATCACGCATTCACTCCCCTTTTTCTTACAAAAACCCAGCAGGTGTCACCATTTTTGCCCAATAAAAGTTAAATGTTTTATGTATCTGATATTTGTATAAGATACGATATTTTATTACCCATATGGGAAGGAGGTCACAAGGTAGTATTTTTCCTGTAAGTCCCTAGGGAGGTTACACCTTTTGGTGAACGCTGATTCGCTGTTTCAGAAAATAAAACAACCAATCAACGCGTAGGGATATGGGGATTCCCTACATCGCGGGTTTCCTTAAAGGGAATGCTGTATTCATTTTAGCGATGTTTAGATCGAAAACTATATGGGTAATAAAAACAATAACCAACTCGCGAAGGCTCGAGAATTACGTAATTAATATAACTCGGGAAAGATAATCTGCCTATTTCCCGTCACTTGTTAGCTATTGTCTAAATCTGCAAGGAAATATTTAACATCTTAAGCGCTGTTCATAGAAGATCTTTAACGTTATAGTACTGGTATTAGCGAAGAAACTAATTTGCCCTGAAAATTAAATGATGCGTATTCAAATGAATGAGACTCAGATGTTGGTTATTTAATAATATAGGCTTATAACAACACTACATACGTGATAGTTGAAACAAATATGTCCTAAAAAGGCTAAAACTTGATGTTTTAATGAATGATTTGTTAATACATCAAAATATATACGTTTGTCCTTAGCCATAATCACATAAATAGTGAGAATGTTTCTCAAACATCTGCTCGGGAAATGAACTTAGTAATACTCTTGAACAGTTCTACCTTTGAATGATTTAGTCAGATGCACCTATTGGGTTGAACGTCCCAAAAATGTGATGCAGTATTTACATATCTTATCATTGATGAAGATTCATGTGTAATTGAAATAATCATACACCACCCTTCAGAATATTTGATCTGTCTGATCTGTCTGATATGGTATAACGGGTGCAAGTGAACAGTGCAATTGCAGAAACCCGTCTTCTGAATAAACCTACAGCACTGCAAGAATGGATAATAACTGAGAAAAAACAACAACGGAACATCTGCTGTGTAACAGTAACCTATGTTAGAGACGAATATTTAGATCACACACGGTGCCGTAGGATGTTGCCCAAAAAATCAGTCGCTAGTTGGTCTTATCCAGAGTCGAACCTGGAGCCGTCGTCCTACTGTAGAATGATTAGCTTAACAGCACATACATTACGTGAATGCATGATGTTTATGATGAAGTAATAGTATATCCCTCAGTAAAATACACCCCAACCCATTCCCCTTTAATCACTTTGTAGCATTCGATAGTCCTCACACAAAATGAGAGTGAACTTTGACACATTAGTTGTCATCGAGAAATCTAGCGACTGCTTCACAACGACATTCAGATTGTCTTCACAAGATAAAGATAAGATACATTTCAATAGTCATGTTTTATAAATAATGAAAACGCACACATAACTAGCCGCCCAGCCAGCCAAACATAATATGTATACATGTATATTCATTTTGTTGAGCATCTCATGACTGCAATGTTGATAACGTTTATAAGTAGAAGACAAGAGCAATGTAAGTCTTGAATAATGAGTATGAATACTAAGATTTAGGAGTTACGTAGGAAGTACGTATCAGTAAACGCTGTTTTACCATTAAACAGTCAAACACCATGGTGTCGACCTTTGATATGTCGAACACCAGGTTGTTTCGAAGTAGAATCTGCATTCCTGGACGTAGAGTGTTCTAGGACTCTCTACAAAAATGATCACATGTTCTTATAAAAGGATGTTAGAAAGAAAAAGATACTTTCGAAATTTACATTTCAGTAAACACTTTATTACCTTCGGTATTTTGCCGCCATTTGAGAACTACTACTATATCCGTACCTATAAACAATAACGATGTTGTACAATGTTTCTCCCATAAAATACCAATATGTTGCGTTCAATAAAGAACATACAATTGTTGTTGAAATCTAGGATATATTTGTCAAAGTGAGTATGACATTGATATTGAAAGTCTGTGCTCTGTATTTTTTTTATGAAACCATTCTTCAAAGAAGTGGCATACTTCATATATCTCGAGTGGAGATCGAGTAGATTCTGATCTTCTTCCTTTGGAAATGACTTGTCAATTCAGTAATGTCAACTCTAATGTCAATGATTCAGTCAACAATGTCAAAGAAAAACTTTTTTGGAACGATTCATTTTCAACAACATTTTTGAGTAACCTAAAGAAACTGATAACTCCTTGCTATGAACATCTCCTCGAGAAACTTGATTTTGATGTTAATGGAGCTATTGATGATCTTGTTCAGGTGTTATTAGACTCAGCAGATTGTATGAAGAAACAACTCAGGTCATCTCAGCACCCAAGTAAAATACAATTAAGTAAGGAATGTAAAACTGCCAGGAGAGACGCCCGTAAAACCTTAAGGGTTTTTCGGTGTAGACGAACAGACCATAACAGAAAACATTTTTGCAAAATGAGAAACAAGTATAAAGCTTGCTACAGAAAATATAAGACTGATATTTCTATACAAAAGGTACAAAAACTTACTGACTCCATACACTCTCCTTCTAAATTTTGGAAATTGCTTCGGACATTTCGAAAAACATCAAGTCCAAGATCAAACATTTCGAAAACAGAATGGCTTACTCATTTCAAGAATGTTTTCTCAAATGAATCAGTTTTTAATGACATTGATACACAGCATGATTTTATGGACGATTTGCCTGACCCCGATAATGATTTAGCTATGCATATTTTAGACACCCCCATTTCAGAAATCGAAATAAGGGAAGCTATATCTAACTTAAAGAATGGTAAATCGCCAGGTCCTGATCAAATTATAATTGAAATGATAAAATGTTCGACGACAGAGCTTTTACCTTTTCTCCAAAAATGTCGTCGTGTTCAATTATAATTCCAATACACAAGAAAGGCTGTTTTGATAATCCAGATAATTACAGAGGAATCTCCTTAATGAGCATCCTTGGAAAAATATTTACATCAATATTGAATACAAGAATTACAAAATGGTCTAATCTGCATGATCTAATTCCAGACGCTCAGGCTGGCTTCAGAAAAAACTATTCTACTTGTGACCATATATTCACCTTATACGCAATTATCCAAAAATGCTTAATGCGTCGTAAACATAAATTGTATGTGGCTTTTGTTGATTTTAAAAAGGCGTTTGATTCTGTTGATCGGCATAAATTATGGTTATGTTTACGAAAGGCTGGTTTTAAAGGCAAAACGTATAATATTCTAAAATCTATGTATTCCAATATAAAATCACGTGTACGTTGTGGGGATGATACCACCGACTATTTTGATTGCCCAGTTGGACTTCGACAAGGCTGCATTATAAGTCCAATTTTGTTCTCTTTCTTTATAAGTGAATTGTATTTTGAAATTACAAATTGCGGTAAACATGGAATACAAATGTTTCCCGACATGATTGAAATATTTATCTTGCTATTTGCCGACGATGTTATCCTAGTATCAGATACTATTGTTGGACTACAAAATCAACTTAACATCCTAGAACGTTATACACATGATTGGAAACTGTCAGTTAATTTTGACAAAACAAATGTTGTCATTTTTAGAAGAGGAGGCCCTGTTGCAAAAAATGAGAAATGGTCCCTAAATGGAAATTTGATTACTATTGCTAATCACTATACTTATCTGGGTGTACTGTTTACCCATACAATGAATTTCAAGAAAAGTGTTACTGATTTGACATCACGAGCCAAGAAAGCATTTATCAGCCTCATGACTGTATCCCAGAACTTAGGCGTTTTAACACATAGTATATACTTTAAATTGTTTGATTCTCAAATTCAACCCATAATGCTATATGCCTCAGAAATTTGGGGGTTCCAAAAACATGATTGTATTGAGAAATTGCATCTTTTAGCTTGTAAACGCCAAATTGCATGATATATGGCGAGTGTGGTAGATACCCTCTTTTTATCAACTCAAAAATAAGATGCTTAAAGTATTGGTTTCAGATTCTCGGAATGCACGAACGACGAATTCCAAAATTAGCTTATAATATGCTTCTCAATCTAGATAATATTGGTAAAATAACATGGGCGTAAGAAACCTTTTATTCTCTCACGGTTTTGGGTTTGTCTGGTTAAATCAAACAGTTGGCAATGTTGCCCTATTTCTTAACCAATTTCGAGAACAATCAATCAACATGTATCATCAAGAATGGCATTTCACATTAGAAACAAGTTCACGTTATGATCTATATAGATCCTTCAAGAGTCTCATTCAACCAGAAAAATACTTATCTGTGCTAACATCCAAAAATCTCAGGCGCAATTTTATTCAGTATCGACTTGGTCTTTCAGACCTATTCGTAAATAAGGGTAGAAGATTGTCAATAGAGAAATGTTTAAGATTATGTCTTTTATGTCATTCAGCTAATTGAAAACGAAATCCATTTTACATTTTTCTGTCCATTTTATGTTGATCTAAGAACCAAATATATACCAGTGCAATATCAGTCAAAATATCCCGAAACTGCCTTTGTGTCAATTTTATCCTCAAATAATGAAAACGTTATTCTCCAACTTGCCTTATATGTAAAACATGCTTTATCTTTAAGAAATGAACTGTTAAGCATTGATTAACTTTATTCCTTTCATCCTTGTATGATTGTGTGTATTTATATATGTATACCATGTATTCTCCTTGTATGTGGGCCTGAGGCCTTAAATACAATAAACACTTTGACTTGACTTTGACTTGACATATATCTCCATAGATTATATGAATACTGATGGTATTATAATTAACCAATAAACCATGCCCTTACTTCGCGTGTCAGTGGGTGTTAGATCCTGAATATGCAAACTCAGCAGTTTTCATCATGGCATATTAATTTAATAGAACGTCCTGTGGAGACGACCAAGGGTATATAAAGCCAAATAATCTTGTCTTCAGCAGAATCGTCCTCTTCCCAACAACATCCACTCTCAATCATGAAGGTAAGTTTCATTCTAAAAGCTGTAGAAAATACACATTATACAATATTTTAATAATATATTTTCGAATAATTTTACTGCATACCTGATGGTTGATGGGTTAAGCGAAGATGCAATGGGCCTTTTGGCTATGTAGAAGCAAGAATGACACGTATAATCGTATGAAAGGTGTACTAAAGACCGCTTTGAATCGTTCTTGACAAATAGCACAGAATGCCAGCTTCATGTGAAAGAAAACTCCGAAATGAAGAAGGTATGAATTGACGAGCACGGGAATAGTGCTGACACAGGAAACATGCAGGAAACATAATGTTGGAAGCACATAAGGGGCACATGAAAGCACACGTGTTCCTTTATTTATTTCCGGATTTTCACTCACAATGCAGCACAATACATGTGAAGAAACCTGAAAAGAGGATAGAAACTCGTGCTCACTTATTTGTTCCCATCAGTATATAATCATACGATTCTACAATTCGAACCGACGGTCGTAGGTTTCTATCGCGACTTTACATACTTTGTATGTTGTACTTTGTGGTGATTTCGTTACGTCTGAGGTGCTTTAAATAACTCGGGATCAGTTTTCCAACATTTGGAGTTGATAATACCGACAATTTGGTTACATGGTTATCCTTGAGTTAACATCATAATCGTTCAAAAACTACTCCATACTAATAGAAATATAGTCTCAATCTATTTATGGTTGCCATTGTACTTTGTATAGGTGTGATTTAACGTACATCCTGTGTTTACATAAGTTTACCCTATATCAAACAGGATATATTAATGTCATTTCGTTACAAAGATGTATTTTAAATAAGCACCTATTGTTTTCTCAGGTCATCGTCGTTGTATTGTCCGTGCTGGTGTGCTCCACCCTGGCTCAGGTGCCTCTGCTCGGTGGAGGTCTTGGAAATGGTGCTTTCGGTTTCGGTTTCAACAACGGTGGTATTGCAGGAAAAGGCTACGGCTATAACAATTACGGATACGGTAAAGGATCTGGTCCCTTCGGTGGCGTTGTCGGTGGTAACGAACTTGCTGGGCATGGTGGCATCCTTGGGGGACACGGTCTTGTTGGACATGGTGGCATCGTTGGTGGACGTGGCGTCAATGGAGTGTTTGGTAATGGACTTGCTGGTCATGGAGGCATCGTTGGTGGACACGGTCTTGCTGGACATGGCGGCATCGTCGGTGGACGTGGCATCAATGGAGTCCTCGGAAACGGTCTTGCTGGCCATGGTGGCATCGTCGGTGGACGTGGCATCAATGGAGTCCTCGGCAACGGTCTTGCTGGACATGGAGGCATCGTTGGTGGACGTGGCATCAATGGAGTCCTCGGAAACGGTCTTGCTGGCCATGGTGGCATCGTCGGTGGACGTGGCATCAATGGAGTCCTCGGCAACGGTCTTGCTGGCCATAGTGGCATCGTTAGTGGACGTGGCGTGAATGGAGTGTTCGGTAAGGGACTGGCTGGACATGGAGGCATCGTTGGTGGACGTGGCATCAATGGAGTCCTCGGTAACGGTCTTGCTGGCCATGGTGGCACCGTCGGTGGACGTGGCATCAATGGAGTGTTCGGTAACGGACTTGCTGGTCATGGAGGCATCGTTGGTGGACATGGTCTTGCTGGACATGGTGGCATCGTTGGCGGACACGGTCTTACTGGTCACGGTGGCATCGTTGGGGGGCACGGTGTTGCTGGACACGGCGGCATTGTTGGTGGACGCGGCATTAATGGGGTCCTCGGTAACGGACTTGCTGGTCCCTTCAATGGCGGAATCGGAGTTTCAGGACCTTTCGTCGGAAAGTTTTAAGCAGCAAGCGGCCATTGCTACTAAGATGAGATGTACATTTCTCGAGGGATTAAGTTTTATACTGAATATCTTTTTGCAATTTTGGATGAATAAAAACAAACCTATACATACCTACAGCCTTTATATCATTCTTGACATACTGTAAGCATATGTGTCGTAAAGTTGGATTGCTTTGAAATTGTGAAGACAGATTTTTCTTACAATTACACAGTATATTAAATTCCTAGCGAGTATAAATAGCACCACATATTTGGGAATAAAGCCCATTTTATACACATAGGACCCGTCAGTCTGGCCATTAGCGAAAAAATAGAACACTTTAGCAATCATGCTTCTCCCCACCGCTAGAGAGTTGAACAATTTTTAATCTGTTTTCGGTATTGAAGTCTACATAAGCCTTAAAAAGCCTGTGTATTTGTTTGTAAACTGTGCCAGGTGTGCGGGACAGGATAAGCTCACCTTTTCGAGAACACCTGGTCTTGTGATAATGACTCACAAACGCGTCCTCTTGATGGAGTGAAAATTGTAAGAGCAGAGATTTCTCAAGGGCGTTATAAGGGTTTTCTTTCTGATAATTACTACGGACAGTCCTAACTCAGAATAAGGGAATGGAAAAAATCCTTAAAGTCTTATATTGTTTACCTAAGCATGTTTTTTCAACACTCGAGTTCGGTTATACACTGATTCCTTTTAACTGATACGGCAGCTGGTTTTCCTAATGAGGCACTCTCACAAAGTGAGGTAGATCGTTGACTGATGACATAGGTTTAGGTGGTGTCAAACGGATGACAGTTATTTGGGCGTATATGGGATTCGAAACCAGCGGTTTGTTCTGTTTGCACAATGTAGAGTCGCAAGGAACGAAATTGTATTTCCTAAGACCCATGTTTATATGTAGATATAACATATATACGGTGGACTCACTGACTGACTGAGTTTAGTTTTACGCCGCTTTTAGCAATATTCCAGCAACATCACGGCGGGTGACTCCAGAAATGGGCTTCACACTTTGTGCCCATGTGAGGAATCGAACCCGGGTCTTCGGCGTGACGAGCCAACGCTTTAACCACTAGGCTACCCCACAGCCCCTATAAACGGTAGAACTAATATACAGTATAGATACGTTTCAAAACACTTAGTTTACAACCTTTACTCGGGTCTTAATTTTTCATATGGCCATTTTCATGTTTACTCTCGTCGGCCGTTGATGTTCTAGAGCGGCAACCAGTGTCCTACTGAAAAAATGAAGCAGCACATTGATGTTATTTGAATATACTCGCATAAAATGCAACACTTGGTGCTCAAACATCAGTTTCATTTGTGTGTGTGTGTGTGTGTGTGTGTGTGTGTGTTTCATTGAGATTGTTTGAATATAATTGGTTGAAACGCATACATATGTGTGTGTGTATGTGTATTCAGTTCACTTTTCTGCGCTGTAATATCATTCTGAATTAAATTTATTCACATCAGAATCACTTTATACTGATTCAAGCCTGCGCCCTGTACGCCCAGTGACCTGGGTTCGAGTCTCCAAGTCAAACTATGTGTGAATAAAAGCGACAAAACCTTTTCCACAGCCATAAGAAACTTTAAACAGAGTCAGAGTATGTGTTTATGAATCACTATCAGATGACGTGGTAATGATACCAGGCGTTCACGAAAATGTGAGCGTATCCTGTCCCACCGTGTCATCTGTCCTGAACAAGGGTGGCCCAGCTGTTGACCTTTAAAAAATCGGGAACCTGCGTTACAAGTCAAAATAGGGATGCCACTGTCACTCATGCGTCAATGTGCACAATTCCTCACATTGAACAATTCATGCACCACAAAACGTTTTGAAAGCTTTATTGAGGTCTTGAGTGATGTAGCCTTGATCGGACAACTACTGAATAAAAGTCTTATGACGCCCTTTGAAGTCATGGTTAAATGAGCATGCTCGTTTGAAGCACAACAGTTTGTATTTCAAAACCGAAAGGCTCATTGCATTTACGTCCATTTACGTCCTCACGCATTCACTCCCCTTTTTAAAAACAACAACAAAAACAGGTGTCCTTTTCGCCCAATAAAAGTGAAATGTTTTATGTATCTGATTTTCTTATATTAGTTTTACTTACGATATTTTATTACCCTTATGAGAAGGAGGACATAGGGTAGTATTTTCCCGTAAATCCCTGGGGAGGTTACACCGATTGTTCAGCGTTGATTGGCTGTTTCAGAAAATAAGACAGCCAATCAACACGTACTCATGTGGGGATTCCCCACATCGCGGGGATATTTTCATTGTAGCGTTTTTTAGATCGAAAACTGATATGAGTAATAAAACCAATAACCAATTCGCCAAGGCTTGAGAATTACGCAATTAATATGACTGGAGAAAGATAAGTTGTCTAAATCTGCAATGAAATGTTTAACATCTTAAACGCTGATTAATTCAGAGAAGAAAATATTTAACGTTATACCACTGGTGTTTCGCGAAGAAGCAATTCCCATATTTCACTCAGTCTGGGTTTATGTGTTTAAGTGACGGTGAATATCAAAATACTATCAAGTATTACGATAGTTTGCCAGATTTGTGTAGGTAAGCAATACCATTAGATAAATCCAAGACATATCAGCCAAAGATAACCTGCAATATGAATACGTTTTATCACGTCTCTCTCTCTCTCACTCTCACTCTCACTCCCTCTCACACACACTTTCTCTCTCCCTCTCTCTCTCTCACACACACTCTCTCTCACTCTCACTCTCTCACACACACACTCTCTCCTCTCCCACACACACTCACTCTCACTCTCTCACTCACTCTCTGTCTCTCTCTCTCTCTTTATCTCTCTTTGTCTCTCTCTCTCTCTCTCTCTCTCTCTCTCTCTCTCTCTCTTCCACACACACACACACAAACGGACACACATACACGCACACACACATCCAGGCTGCTTGGGGACTTTGGATAATGATAGGTACTCAGTGGCCTAAGTTGGTCATAAAAGGCGCCTTGTGGTCGAGCATATGCATATATCAATCACATGCTGTGGGTCGGATATTTACAGGCCGCACTTAATTAGCAGGGGTACATCAAACCACAGCGTAAGTAATAAAACATGTCAAGGCATTGTTCCGTGTGAAGAACATAGTTATGGACAAATATCTAGAAAATCAAATATGTACTCAATTTGTTAAGTATATTTTTGTCCGATACACTCAATGTAAATGGCCTTTGCAACAATTAACATTGAGAAAAATAGCTAACATAAGAACAAAATATATGCAATGTGAGTGTCTATCACAAATGAAGAATAATTTAGTTTGCATGCACCTATAACAATATCAGGTCAGTTTACTATGTATTTGTACATAAAATATTTAATTATAAATAATATAATTCTACTTGTGGAGGTTTTTTTCAGTTTAATGACAAGGTTTAGTTGCAGTTTGGTAATTTGACTAGTACTAATATTTCATTTGCTTCAACTGTTCCTTAATGATATGATCCAATATCTGGAGAAAGAGAATGTTTGAGAGGCATCGGTGCTCTCATGGATGTTTGTCAAAAGAAGCTCAATGTAATATTATGCTGTTTGATTTCCCAAAGAAAATAGTGGTTTGGGATATGAGAAGCGCTAATAAAGAGGAATATTCAATACGGTAAAGGATGCAGCTTAACATCTTTCATTATTTCTAGACACTGGTGATACTGAGATTCTGTACTTGGAAACCATAATGATTTAAACAGATGCATGTCTCAAGTGCATGTTGATCTTCACAGCCATTAAGCAAGGTATCTTCAGAGGTTATATGAATATTGATGTTATAATTAATAAAAGAAATGTGACCTTCGCGTGTCAGTGGGAGTTGGATCATGAATATGCAAAGTCAGCAGTTTTTCATGAGCACATTAATTCAGTGGAATGTCGAAAGCAGACTGCCAAGGGTATATAAAGCCAGATACTCCCGTCTTCAGCATCAGATTCATCCTCTTCCCTACAGCAACCCCCTCCACTCTTAATCATGAAGGTGAGTTTCTTTCTTATATCTTAAGTTCCTAAAGATAAATAGTATAGTTGTATCCTTAAAATCGTTAATTTTAAAATATTTAAATGTTATGCATGAAGGTTAACGGGTTAGTTTGCATTTTGTTTGAGCGGTTGGATCGACAATAACATATCCATGGACACCAACGTTTAACCGTACTTATGACCAGGTGTACTGAGTGGGTTTGGTTTGACGTCGCTTTGAACATTTGAACAGTACTTAAGTTACATGACGAAAAGTGAAACAGGTTCTTGATACTTTTGGTGAGACCCACGAGTACCAGTATGGTACTGACAAAATTAAAAATATAAAATCTGGAATAGGAACTCACGATCATAGATCTCTGGCACTACTTTTCTGACACAAAAAAATAATTGTTCACAGTAACACCTCACTAATAGAAACATTTGTTTGGATGAAACGATTGAGTCATGAGTGCCAAATGTGGTATAATCCCCATATGCTACCCTTTGGAAATGGGTGCAATTTTATGTGCCAGCTATGGAACGTTTACATTACATGCATTAAAATCAAATGAAAGTAGCATGAAAAATCATTTATTGTAAAAATTATATTTTTAATATATTTTTCTTATGAGTATATATTGTTTTCTTAGGTCATCGTCGCTGTAATGTCAGTGTTGGTGTGCTCCACCCTGGCTCAGGTGCCTCTCATCGGTGGAGGTCTTAGAAAAGGTGCTCTCGGATTCGGTTTCAACAACGGTGGTATTGCAGGAAAAGGCTACGGCTATAACAACTACGGATACGGTAAAAGCTCTGGTCCATTCGTAACAGGCATTGTTGGTGGACGAGGCGTCAATGGAGTGTTCGGCAACGGACTTGCTGGTCAGAGAGGCATCGTTGGTGGACACGGTCTTGCTGGTCACGGTGGCATAGTTGGCGGACACGGTCTTGCTGGACACGGCGGCATTGTTGGTGGACGTGGCGTCAATGGAGTGTTCGGTAACGGTCTTGCTGGTCGCGGTGGCATTGTCGGTGGACGTGGCGTCAATGGAGTCTTCAGTAACGGACTTCCTGGACATGGCGGCATCGTTGGGGGACACGGTCTTGCAGGACATGGCGGCATTGTTGGTGGACGTGGCGTCAATGGAGTGTTCGGTAACGGTCTTGCTGGTCACGGTGGCATTGTCGGTGGACGTGGCGTCAATGGAGTCTTCGGTAACGGACTTGCTGGACATGGCGGCATCGTTGGTGGACACGGTCTTGCTGGGCACGGTGGCATTGTTGGCGGGCGTGGCATCAATGGAGTCTTCGGTAACGGTCTTGCTGGTCACGGTGGCATCGTTGGTGGACACGGTCTTGCAGGACATAACGGCATCGTTGGTGGACGTAGCGTCAATGGAGTCTTCGGTAAAGGTCTTGCTGGGCACGGCGGTATTGTTGGTGGACATGGCGTCAATGGAGTGTTCGGCAACGGACTTGCTGGAGGCATCGTTGGGGGACACGGTCTTGCAGGACATGGTGGCATCGTTGGTGGACGTGGCATCAATGGAGTCTTCGGTAACGGACTTGCTGGACATGGCGGCATCGTTGTTGGACGTGGCGTCAATGGAGTGTTCGGTAACGGTCTTGCTGGACACGGCGGTATTGTCGGTGGACATGGCGTCAATGGAGTCTTCGGTAACGGACTTGCTGGACATGGAGGCATCGTTGGGGGACACGGACTTGCTGGACACGGTGGTATTGTTGGTGGCGTTGGTGGGGTGCTCGGTAACGGTCTTGCCGGTCCCTTCAATGGCAAACTCGGAGTTGCTGGATCTTTCGCCGGAAGATTTTAAGCAGCTAGCGCATTTTGCTTCTTGAAGGAAAATGTCTTGAGGGATTGTGTTTTGTACTGAATACCACTTTGTAATTTTAGTACCTTTTGAATAAATAAATAAATAACACATCTAATCTTACCTGCAACTTCCGTATTATTCCTCACATAACCTGGGTCGCGTTAACTGATTTCGTGAATGCAACATGAAGTATAATTAACTTGGAATGGTATAAACATATTTCTGAAGGAGCGGTGGGGTTGTCTAGTGGGTAAAGCGTTCGCTCGTCACGCCGAAGACCCAAGTGCGCTTCCCAACATGTGTACAACGTGTGAAGCCAACGTCTGGTGTCCCCCGCCGTGATATTGCGGGAATATTGCTTAAAGCATAGACAAGCTTCATGGCACAGATTTGTTCAGTGAATTAGATATGCTTACCGGCATAGACATTACTAATGTCATGGATATGTTTTATGACATAGAAACTATAAATAGACATGATTAATGGCAGACATGCTTCATGACACAGACTTGCTCAATGAATTAGATATACCAACTGAGATGTCCGATGACACATATATGCTTCATGACATAGACATGCTTTATGACATGGACACGTTTAATGACGTAGACATGTTCAATGACACAGACATACTTCATTACAGAGATATGTTCAATGTCAAAGACAAGCTTAATGACATAGTTGAGTTGAGTGTGAGTTGGGCTTTATGTCACATTGGTATTGTTCAAGTCATATAGTGACGAGATCAAGTCTGCATTCATACACATTTTAAGTACAAAGTCCAAATGAGTTTTATTAAAAAACATATTTATTAATTACATTATTATTTACAAACAGAAAATGCCATAGCACCAAATTCGAAAACAAGCAATTCGTTATTCACATTACATAGTTACAATTTATGACTTAACGACATAAGCATGCTTGATGACTTAATGACATGGGCATGCTTGATGACTTAATGACATAGGTATGCTTGATGACTTCAAAACTTTATGACATAGATAAATTTAATGACACAGACTTGCATCATGACATTCACATGTGTAACGACACAGACTTGCATCATGACATTCACATGTGTAACGACACAGGCAGTATGAGATGACATAGACATGCTTCATGACATGGATCTGTTTATTGACGCAGACATAATCAAGTTCAATGACATGCACAAGTTCACTCGCCCATTTCTGGTGTCTCCCACCGTGATATTGCCGGAATATTGCTAAAAGAGGCATAAAACCATACTCACTCACGCACACTCACTAATGGACATAATGGAGAATATGTCTCAAAAGATTAATAGAAATAACATTAGTGTTTGAGTGTATTTTGTGTCATGTTTGAAAGTGGGGTAGTGTGAAAGAATTGGCTCGTCAATATGAAAGCCCTCGATTTCCTACATGATATAATGTGTTCAGCTCAAATCTCTAATCACCCTATTCTTAAAGACTGCAATTTTGTTTCCGTAATTTTATCTCGACCCTCGGCTACGTCAACCAGGCAATATATGAAAAACACTTCCACTTCATGGTTATATCCTAGACATCCTTTTTAGATACTCTAGACAAACATACATCTAATCATATTATAGTATGACAAGAAATTATTTAGAATTTTAGGAATATGTTTAATTGGATTTCTAGTATAAACAACCTTGACCAGCCATCAGGTCCGTTAATCCTTTATCATTAGTTTGTGAAGAGTTATCCCCCTTTGTTTACTTGCTAGCAGACGACATTTTCAGTAATCCGCAGTATGGATGATTTAGAGAAGAGGAAGTTGATTTTAGAGTATTATAACAAGGACATCAGATCAGCTAAAGTGATTTCAAGTAGAACAGGCATCCCTTTATCCACTGTTTATCGTGTTTTGAAAAATATTGCAAATGGATATGGCACTGAGCACCAGGGAGGCGCAAGTAGGCCCAGAAAATTGACAGTCGGTGACAGGAGGCGGCTTGGTATTCTTGTTTCTAAAACAAACGAAGGAGTTTAGAAAACTTAAGGCTGGATATGATTGATAAAGGAACTGTGGCTGTCTGTAAGGAGACAATTAGAAGTGAGCTGCATGCAATGAGTTGGCAGAAAAGTCGAGGAATTCCATCACCGATCATGAAACCTGAACAAAAGGAGCGAAGGTTGAACTGGTGCTTACAGCATAGAAATTTTAACTGGGACAATGTGATTTTCTCAGATGAAAGTTCTGTGTGGCTGTTTCCTAATACACTGAAATTCTGGAACAAACAAACTGAAAAACCTTTGTATCAGCGCCCAAAGTACAGTTCGAAATTTAACGTGTGGGGTGGCATATCTGTGTTACGGGCAACGCCCCTCTGTGTATTTGAAGGGAATATGAACAGTGAGCGGTACATATATTCTCGAGGAACATTTACTTCCATCTGCTCGCGTGTTCTGTGGAAATGTTTGGATTTTCCAGCAGGACAACGACCCAAAACATCGTTCAAAGCATTAACAGGCCTGGTTTCGGACCCAAAATATGACATTATTAGATTGGCCGAGCTATAACCCTGACCTAAATCCAATAGAAAATGTTTGGGGACTTATGAAGGAAAGTGTCAATAAGAAAAATCTGACAAATATTGCTGAAATGAAAGAAGAGGTGGTCCGATATTGGGACAGCATGGACCACGACTTTCTAACTTCTTTGATAAGTGGTATGCCCCGCCGCATTGAAGCCTGCATTGCTGCCCATGGTGACTTGACTACATACTAACTGTTCACCTGTCTTTGAATCTGGAGTTATGTTCTGCTAATATTCACATTTAATACGGGAGTAATGAGTGAAAAAAAATAAAAAATTACAATCTATAAATTCTCAATAATTTCTGGTTGTACTGTACATATTTCGGTTTCATTGCACACGTGTCCGGAAATATTGCATACAGTATAGACAATCGTATCCAGATGAAGTTTACAGTTGATGATAACAGCGTGCTATCTGAGGAAACACAATTAAAACAGAAATTGCATACCCGGACAGTGAACAAGCTGGTTGTACACGAAGTGTGAAAACCCGAAGAATGTCACATCTATGTTAACTTTCCACGGAGTTCATTGTCTGATAGAAACCTCGATAAGTACACCAACTAACAATTCCCCTCAAATCTCCCTCTCAACCCTCCCCCATCAAACGTGGCTACTCATTCCTATGTCCAGGCACACACGCATACACGTGTACATGTACGTACACGCATACATGGATACACGCATACACGTGTACACATAGATACACTGATACACGCATACACGTGTACACATACATACACTGATACACGTGTACACAGACATACACGCATACACTCATACACATACATGCACGAATACACTGATACACGCATACACGTGTACACATACATACACGCATACACTCATACATGACATACATACATACATGACATACATACATACATGACATACATACATACATACACACACACACACACACATACATACACACACACACACACACACACACACACACATACTTACATACATACATACATACATACATACATACATACATACATACATACATACATACATACATACATACATACATACATACATACATACATACATACATACATACATACATACATACATACATACATACATACATACATACATACATACATGCATGCATACATACATACATACATACATACATACATACATACATACATACATACATACTGTTAGGTATTATTCATTTATGAAACCTATCTCAATGCTGTATTCTGGAAATGAGAACCTTGCTTCTTATGCATTTCAGTGTTTGATAATTCAACCATAGCATTTCGGTTTGTATTTCTTGATTCAAATGTCATACAAGTCGTAATCATATTTTGTCATATTTGATACAGAATCCATCTCTAATTTTATCTGCAATCCATTTTTTCGTCAATTTATTCTCATCTGTCTGCTCGATGTTCAACATTACGCCATTCCAGTGTGAATGTATACATATTCATATTTTATCGTGATGATCTGGGTAATTCAGTTTCATTGATAAAAGAATCTTGTTTTGATATTCTCTCGAAAGAAATGGTACTCGTTAAGCTGAAATTTACTTTTACACCGGTATACCATTCTCATGCCTCTTGAAATTAGTAGTTTACCGTCTAACTGCAAGTCAAGGCTTTCAAGTTCATTCAACTATAATTTATGACGAAGGACCAAGAAAGGGAAGAACTTTAATTCCCATATACATATTTATGTGTATAGAGTCATGCTGGGCTTATTTGACATTGGGCAATGGATTCATTACATTTTTCTCCAGCCCTATCGGTTACTAAGCTATAGTAAAGTAAAATTAAATTTAACCTTTAAACCTACTATAGGGGTGATCGCGTAAAATAAAACCGTAATATTCTATTCTGCAGGGTCCTCATAAACTACTACCCTTAGGGATATTTCAGTACTATTAATTAGCGACCTGCGATGTCGGTTTATCTGATGGTTAACTATAAATATTTATCACCTTAACGTTGTGAGACTCTTAGATATGTGTTGCTGTGGTGATCGCTGTGGTTAGATTATCTTAATGTGTGACAACAATCAGCCTCCCATAGACCACCTCCCGAGGATGGGGGTGAGGAGAGTCACGTGGGGCTGCACATAGGGGACAGGAGTGATCCACGGTGTGTATAAATGTCCCTCACTTCAACCCTTGTCACATCAACCTCAGCATCACAGGATGAAGGTAAGCCGACCACCATCAGTGTCCTAATTCTCTCTGCTTTTAGTTTTTAGTTTATATAGGTATCAGAATAATATTAAGTCTTGAAATCTCAGATTGACAATAACTTCCAAAACGTTCTTCTTTCTGGTGGAATAAAATCCCCCCTATTCCATTCAACAAATGTTTTAATGGTATTGGATCGAAAAAACACACAAATAATGTACCTCACAGTACGTTTCTGATTCCGTATTTTCAACTCACATAATATTTTAGGAATTTCTTGATACACGCCTTCAGGTGATATTTGCTATACCTTTGCATGTCTTACTCTGGGGCAAGAGGTGTTCACCTAATTGAGAAACCCGTGATACGTGTATATTCGGAATCTTACAACGGACTCTTTCGGCGATGTTGTAAAATGTCTTCTTGTTCTGAAACGATTTCATGGGTTTGGTTTAAAACGACAATTGGATATGGGATTATTTTGGGAAACTTACAAGCAGTGTTACATATTTCGTTTTCATATACTAGTATTCGTATTTTTACCTCATAGTCACGTGACCAGATACTGTCAACATAACATTGTCCTCCTAATCTACCCTCAAAACTATCAACTGAATTTCAATAATAAATGTTGATACATCAGCGATGAAATATTGAACAGAACACAACCATAATAAAATGCTTTTAGTTATTTAGGCACTCAGCAATATTCCAGCTATATGGCGAGCATCCAATCATTACACCATCTAATTGACACATATAAAGTATCAAATCATGCCAAATTCTCTGAAATGATATGTATGCAATTCCTTCAAAATGTCATCCAATTAAGTTGACAGGCATATATTTACATCCCCGTGTTCAATGAGGTGGGTAAAACATACCGCCGTTATTTAAAGAAATCGTGTACTGGATTTGCATAAAGATGTTTCTTTATGTTTCAGTTAGTGTCTTGGTTGTTTCCAATATTGACAAAACTGTAAGATTTACGTCCAAATTGACATTTTACAACCAGTATTGTCTCATGTTAACAAACTTCCTCAATTGTCTTAAGATTGCCATGACAACGATGCATTAGTCTCCATATGTCGTAGACTTTATTACATTATCTGATCTTATTGAAAGGACTTTAATACTGAAATGCAGGTTCCCGTGGGACGATGTTAACTGTAATGCTTCATTGTCTTCTCAGATTGTCGTCGTGCTTACTGCCCTTTGTGCCACCACCCTCGGTGAGATCCCACTCCTTGGATTCGGTGGATTCGGTGGCTTTGGTTCTCTCAATCTTGGACTCGGTCATATCGGCGTCAAGAAAATCGATCCTCTTTCCGACGCAGGCCATGGTTTCGGCCACGACAGCTACAAACCAACGGGCTACGACAAGGCAAGTTCTTTCAATGGTGGTTACAAGCCAAAGAACAGCTATAAACCCAGTTATAATGGTGGTTACAAACCCCAAATCCATGCTAGCTACAAGCCCAGCGGCTACAAGAACCAGGGGTATGGTAGTGACAACGACTACAAACCTCAGAGCTACAACCATGGTTACAAAGGTGAGGGATATAACAACGACCACAAGCCAAGTAGCTACAACAACTACGACTATAAGCCCCAGGGGTACAACAACGACCACAAGCCAAGCAGCTACAATAGCTACGATTACAAGCCTCAGGGATACAACAACGACCACAAGCCTACCAGCTACAACAACTACGATTACAAGCCCCAGGGATACAACACCGACCACAAGCCAAGCAGCTACAACAACTACGATTACAAGCCCCAGGGATACAACACCGACCACAAGCCAAGCAGCTACACTTACGATTACAAGCCCCAGGGGTACAACAATGTCCACAAGCCTAGCAGCTACAAGAACTACGATTATAAACCTCAAGGGTACAACAACGACCACAAGCCTAGCAGCTACAACAGCCATGATTACAAGCCCCAGGGGTACAACAATGTCCACAAGCCTAGCAGCTACAACAACTACGATCACAAGCCCCAGAGGTACAACAATGTCCACAAGCCAAGCAGCTACAACTATAAGCCCCAAACCTACAACGGGGGTTACAAACCCAACAGCTACAACAACCACTTGGGCTACAACGCTAAGCTCCACAACGTCCACCCCGTGGTTGGATACCTGTGAATTAATCGTTCTCTTTCAGTTCGGAATGATGAATCTCAAACAACTGTTTAAACACGCTCTTGGGTCTGTGTGTGAGGAAAGGCCCACAGCCGAGTACAACATATATACATGCAGTAGTGCAAAACATGATGGTGGTACAGGCAGTTTCTAAAGAATGGCAAGTGTTGTATTCCTAGCAACATATCCTTTATATCTGTTCATGATTTTCTGGTACGTTATCTCTTTCTCTGAATTCTGTTTTTATACTACTTTAGGCTGGTCAACAAACCGGTGTGTAACTATGATGTTTTGTACCATTTATCAATAAAATAAATTTCTAAAATTACTGATTCGGTGATTTTTTCTGTGCAGTATTGGAACCTGTTTCATCGTCAGTGAATACTTCAGGGTTTTATGATTTTATTGTATCCGAGTACAATCTATCCGGTCCACAACACAGTAAACGCCAGGTTGATGGCTTTCAATGCACTGGAGAAAGGTATACAATACATTCAGTTTTAGTCATGGCGGTTACTACCGGAAGGGCAGGACATGCTTCCCCTTGAGTCATCCCTTCACTAATCCATTTATACAACTGTCGACTGCAGAACAGTTATGGACATGATGGCCTAAAATCAGCATTTATTCACAATCAAAATGTCTATCATATCGAACTCGATCTTTCGATCTAGAGATTAATGAAGCAGACAGACGGACAGACAGACGGGCAGATTTTATTCAGTATGAGGCCTTCGGCACAAAATACAGAGAACTCGGTTACAAAAATATCCATGCGCATGTTACAGCATAAAATAGCATAAAATAATATAAATACATGATATAAATATATTATATCTTACTTAGCCTTATCTGTTAAATTTTAAATTTAAAAAGTATGCAAAATATAATAATTATGAGAGGAAATTATAGAAATATAGTTATGTTGAGAGTTAGAATTGATGTATTTACCAATAAGTATGTTACGGAAAAAAATATAAGCTTCAAAGATTAAAAGTACATGATATTCATTTTCAATAAAATACTTAATTTGTGGACAAACAGAGAGGACAGAGTCTTTCTACATATGGTGTGGCTTGGTGTCTTCCAGTGTTGACAGTTATTCTAGAGTTACAGCATCTGAAGCATAATAAAATCCTTTCTAAGTGCGATGGAGAAAGTATATTCCAGCAATTTCACGGCGGGGCACACAAGAAATGGTCTTCAAACATTGTGCCCATGTCGGGAATCGAGCCTGGGTCTTCGGCGTGAGGAGCGAGCGCCTTAACCACTAGTCTGCCCCACCAGCCCTAAGTGAGATAGAAGTGATGAGTTCAAATATACTTTTTCGACAGACTTGAAACAAATGGTTTCCTTGAATTTTGATAAACAAATTAATAAAGCAAGACAGATCTGCTTTTCCTGGTCAAAAAGATTACTAACATTAAATGGCAAAATAACGATCATTAAATCACAAATAACCCCTTTATTTACACATCTATTTTCAGCCATTCCATTGCCGGATAAAACCTTCTTTAAATCTCTTAACTCAATCTTGTTTATGTTTATTTGTAACGGAAAACGAGATAAAATTAAAAGAAGAATGTTGATGAATGATCATTCAGAAGGTCTTGGCATGATTGATGTTGAAGCTTTTTGTAAATACTTGAAATTGAAGTGGATAAAACGCTTGACACAAAAAGATGGATCATGGCAACACTTGGCACGATGTTCGATGGTAAACTTAGAAAATATCCATATCCTGAATTTCCAAAGCATCAATTAAAAACGCTAATTGAAGATATTAAGAACAATTTTTGGACACATATTTTAACTATTTATAACAAGTTGCAAACTTCAGAGATTAGGAATATTGACGAATTCAGAAATCTCCCTTCATGAGTTTTGTTCCTTATAAAGATTTTAAATATACATCAAATGGTATCAGTGTGGAATTAGATATATTCGGGACCTAATGACTGATTCAGGACACTTAAAAGATTAATAAGTTTCATACCCAACACATGGATTAAATTATTAAAAGATAACCCGGTTAATAGAACAAATAAATATTAATTGTTAGATTCTCAGGGACATTATCTCATCACTAGATTGTAAATTTATCTATAAACTTATTCGTAAGGATGAGGGTATTTGTTCTCTTCAAGATCTTACTTCTAAATGGAACTCAAAGTTGGATGCACATATATTAGTCCCAATGTTTTAATACAATACGAAATTGTGTTGAGGACAGCAGGACACGGAATTTCCAACATTAACTCATCCATCGTATCATACCATCAAAATCGTTTCTTTACAAAATAGGACTGATAGAGGATAATATTTGTACATTTTGCCAATCAGAAAGCGAAACACTAGAACATTTATTTTTTTCCTGTCGAAAAGTTCAAACAATGAAAAACGAGTTGACATTTTGGTATGAAATTAGAACCAATTTAAAATTAGACTTAAATATGAATAATTCCTTTCTTGGCGATTCAAAGTTGAGTGTCCTTGAAAACCACCTTTTATAATAACCAAGCGTTACATTCAAAATTGTCATTACAATAAGACTATTCCCATATTTACCCAATTATTACCTCTAATAAAACATAATCACAACATAGAGAAATTCATTTCTGGAGACAACACCAAATTTGCAGAAAAATGGGTCCCTTTACTAATATAGATGACCGCAAACCAATGTTTGATCATACCATCCTTTTTCTCCTCTACTTTCTTACTTTCCTATATCCCTATACCTTTTTCTTTGTACTTTATTCATACACCCATAAATCATGTCGTCTCCCAGTTATCCCGCAGCTTGAATTTATGTGTTGTGGGTATCATCCAGCTGTATGAATATTGTATCACTTGCTACCTCAATAATAAAAAAAGAGTTCAAATATACTATTCACACTTTGCTAAGGATCAAATGATGGATTCAACAGAAAACTGTGATGTTTAGCTTATTGTAAGCATGGATGCTAGGTTTCAGTGTACCATTTCATCTTGTGGATCCCATACCTGCTGTTGACAGGTGTTGTGTACTTGTCAATGATTCGTTCCATGATTTCCAAAATGGTTGATTGGTGCCATGAAAACCATCTTGATGGTGCATACGGTTAGATTAAGTAACTTTGTGAATTTTTGTGATCCTTAGGCAAGTGTGAGTAGTATAGTATTCAACAGTCAGTAGGGATATATATATTTTTTATATGCATGTAAGTCTGATTAGTTATTTACATTTACACTCCAGGGCCTAGATTTTCGAAGCTCTCTTAGCGCTAAGATAGTCGTAAGTTAATGTTAATGAATGGCACTTACGACTATCTTAGCGCTAAGATAGTCGTAAGTTAATGTTAATGTATGGCACTTACGACTATCTTATCGCTAAGAGAGCTTCGAAAATCTAGGCCCAGGTTTGTTGTAGGTTGCAAGTAGTCCTAATGAACCAATGTCTAATATAAGGAGTTCATCTTTGTTGGATCCGCCGTTAATGTGCAATAAAACGACAAGGGACATCGTTATAATAAATGCTTAATAATATAATTCAGCTACTTTTTTATTCCTGTCGTCAGTTTTGGTTTACATTGATGCATTTGCATAATACATATGTTCCATCAATCAGTCGAAGATACTTCTGAAACATATTCCAAATAGCAACACCACCAGCCCGTCCGTTGGCAGAAATTTGTGAGAAGCTGAGTATGTCCATGACGGATAGGCGTTCATGTCTAACCTGTTTGGGTTCGTTAATAATTTGGAATGCAACACATAACCATTCAGACACACTGGGAAAACAGACACACAATTTTAAAAGACAATTCTAGAACGAATGCGTTGGTGAATATGAAAATGTTCAAACAGATCAAGATTTTATCCCAGAAGAAAATATGACAGCAAACACTACAAATTGAAATAGCGCATAGATCGGTTTTAAATTATTGGTCGCCTAATTTAAACAGCTGATAGTGGGGCTTGACAATGAAAAGTACTGACAACAGAATAATTTACTGGAAAATGAATTTTAATTTATTATTTAAAATGTCAAATCAAGGGTAAGTCGGTTGGGAAGGTTGTAAAACTGGTATTGCAGCTACAAGAACATATATGTTGAGGAGAATATACTAGTAAATGCGGATTCGTAAAGAGGAATCGCCGAATCCCGGATGAACATCGATGTAGGCAAGAAAATGTAGAATACTATTGTTATGGAAGGTATGTGATAATGATACAACCATTTAGAAATGTCTATATTCTAATTTGTGTCTTGTATTCGCTGAGATCCATTGTAAGATGACCTCAAGTCGATAATGCAATAATTGTGTACAATATTTGCTATCACTTGAATGTCAAACAAATTGTTCCGTCAGTTCATATGTACAATGGCTGGCGATATCTTCTCAGAATGAGTACTTGGCCGCCATGTATGCTAGTATAATGCTGAGTGCGGCATTAAACAACATACAAACTTGAGTATTTGACAACCATTGAATAAATATTAAGGATGATATGTGTTTACATATAAGAAACGGTTGACGCTTCAGTTGATATGTAGTTATTACTTATATTATATACATTATTATTATATAAATATTACTTAAACGCAAATGTATACAATTGCTTAAAAATCATAACCGAGCATACAACTATATTGGACTCGTGAAGGTCCGGGTTATTAGAATATTGATCTTCAGTAACCCATGCTTGTCGTAAGAGGTGGGATCGGGTGGTCAGGCTCGCTGACTTGGTTGACATATGTCATCGGTTCCCAATTGCGCAGATCGATGCTCATGCTGTTGATCACTGGATTGTCTGGTCCAGACGCGAATATTTACAGACCGCCGCCATGTAGCTGGGATATTGCTGAGTGCGGCGTAAAAATGAACTCACTCACACTCACAAGGATATTGATTTTTAGATTATCAACTTTGGTGTCTTAAATTCGTTGCTGTAGCACTTCGTATCCTGCAAGTTAGGTTGACACGCAGGATGCCAACCACTGAATTGCCTATATCATT